AGTTCGGGAGAAGAATCAATGATGATGTGGAATCAAAAGCTCGATCATATGTCAAAATGAGGTTTGATGGTTCTCTCTAAACAGAAACTACTCCCTGGGCTCAGCTTGGGAAAAATACCATTTTGTGAGCATTGTGTTACAAGTAAGTAACACAAGTTAACGTTTAGCACATCAAAAGCTAAGAGCAAAGAAATCTTAAAATTGATCCACTCTGATGTTTGGCAAGCACCGATATCATCCCTCAGAGGGGCGAGATACTTTGTATCTTTCATTGATGATTACTCCAAGTGATGTTGGGTGTATCCAATCAAAAGGAAATCGGATGTTTTTGAAGTTTTCAAAGTTTTCAAAGTGCGGGTGGAACTTGAATTTGAAAAGAAGATCAAATGTCTAAGGACTAACAATGGAGACGAATATACAAGCGATGAGTTTAATTCATTCTGCCAACAAGAAGGCATCAAGAGGCAGATCACGGCGGCGTACACTCCTCAGTAAAATAGAGTGGCAGAGTGGATGAATAGAACAATATTGGATATAACAAGAGCAATGTTGAGGACTGTAGGTCTAGCCAAGTCATTTTGGGCAGAAGTAGTAAAAAACGCATGTTACGTGATTAATCGGTCTTCATCAACTGTGATTCATCTGAAAATGCCAATGGAGATGTGGACTGGTAAGCCAGCTAATTATTCTCAGTTACATACATTTGGAAGTCCTGTATACCAAGAAAGATCGAAGTTGGATCCAAAATCTAGAAAGTGTATCTTCTTAGGTTATGCTGATGGTGTTAAAGGGTATCGCTTGTGGGATCCCACTGTCCACAAGATTGTCATCAGTAGAGATGTCATATTTACAGAGGATAAACTGCAAGAAAAGGGAGACGACAACACTTCAAATGAGAAGTCAGAGACTACTACGGTTCAGGTGGAAGATAAGCCATATGAAGATCTAGTTTCTTCTGAAGCAACACCAGAGCACGAAGGTCAAGAACTAGTCAAGTCTGAGGCTTTCGAAGTTTGCCGATCAACTCGTGAGAGAAGACCACTGGTTTGGCACTCACATTATGTTATTGAGAGCAATGTTGCATACTGTCCTTTAACAAAGGATGTAGAGCCATCAACTTTGCAGGAGGCAATCGAAAGCTAATATGTATCCCTGTGGATGGCAACAACGCAAGAAGAAATCGAAGCCTTACACAAGAATAGGACTTGGGATCTTGTTTCGCTACCACGAGGAAGGAAGGCCATCGGAAACAAATGGATCTACAAGATCCAGTGTGATGGTAATAACCAAGAGCAACGATTCCGTGCAAGATTATTGGTGAAAGGATATGCTCAGAAAGAAGGTAGTGACTTCGATGAAATATTTTCACCTGTGGTTCGACTCACTACAGTTCGAGTAGTTTTGGCAATGTGTGCTTCGTTTGACCTACATCTAGAGTAGCTAGATGTGAAAACTGTTTTCTTCATGGAGATCTTGAAGAAGAGATTTATATGCTCCAACCAGAAGGCTTTGCAAAAGCAGGAAAAGAGAACTTGGTTTGCAGGTTGAACAAATCTCTGTACGGTCTCAAATGGGCACCGAAGTGTTGGTACAAGAGATTTGATTCCTATATCATGAGCCTTGGGTACAACAAACTCAGTGCATACCCTTATACGTATTTCAAGAGGTTTAGTGATGGAGATTTCATCATTTTGCAGTTGTACGTGGACGACATGTTGGTCACAAACCCCAACAAAAATCGAGTCCAAGAATTGAAGGCACAGTTGGCTAGGGAATATGATATGAAGAACCTAGGACCGGCAAAGAAGATTATAGGGATACAACTTCACCGTGACAGGAATAATAGGAAGATTTGGCTTTCTCAAAAGAATTACTTAAGGAAGGTCTTGCAATGCTTCAACATGCATTATTGTAAGCCAATGTCTGCCCATTTTCTTGTTAATTTCAAGTTATCCTCCAAGATGTGTCCTAGCAATGAAGCAGAGAGGAAGGAGATGTCTCGAGTGCCATATGCATCAGAAGTGGGTAGCTTAATGTTCGCTATGATTTGTACAAGACCAGACATTGCACAAGCAGTGGGAACGATTAGTAAGTACCTGGCGAATCCTGGTAAAGAGCATTGGAGTATCGTTAAAAGGATCCTGAGATACATCAATGATACCTCAGATGCTGCATTATGTTATGGAGGATCGGAGTTACTGTCAAGGGCTATGAGGATTCTGATTTTACAGGTGATCCAAATAAAAGAAAATCCACTACATGCTATGTGTTCACACTTGCAGGAGGAACTGTAAGTTAGGTTTCGAAACTGTAGTAAATTGTAGCGTTATCTACAACATAAGCAGAATACGTGGCGGCTACATAAGCTTGCAAGGAAGCAATTTGGATTAAAAGGTTATTAGAGGAGCTCGAGCACAAAGAAGATAAGATTCTTTTGTTTTGTGACAGCCAGAGCGTCTTGCACATTGTAAGGAATCCAGCCTTTCATTCCAGGACGAAGCATATAGGAGTTCAATTTCACTTTGTCCTTGAAGTAGTGGGAAAATGAAGTGTGGATATGCAAAAGATTTACACAAAAGAGAACCTAGCATACGTGTTGACCAAGCCACTAAATACTGACAAGTTCAAATGGTGTAGATTCTCGTGTGGCTTAGCAGAAACGTAAGCAGCATAGTAGTGACAAGTTAGAAAGGATGGTGTGGAGACATGATTGATTCTCAATCAAATCTCCAAGTGGGAGAATGTAAGCGTTGCCTAATAAGCCCAAACCAATCACAACTTTTGAAGGAAATAAGGAAAAAAAAGGAGAGAGAAAGGGGAAGTCAGCACCAAATTCGGTGCTGGCATTTATTGGAAGAGTTAGTTGTTTACAGCTGGCTCATATGGTTTTCTCAGGGGGGAACTTAGCTATAAATAAAGCTCCTCCATTTCTCAGCTTTATAGTCCATTCTCACCATTCATAAAGAATTCCCATAGTATGAGAGAAATTTAGTTTCTCTAGTTTTTTTTTTGTGAGGTGTTTTTCCTATTTACATGAAAGTGTGGTTCTTATTGTTCTCTCCGTGTAATTTAAAAAGAAAGTTGTAATCTCTATTTTTTATAATGAAATCTTTCTACACTTGTCCCCGTCTCCTTTAGAAATTTTCCACGTAAAATACTAGGTGTCCATATTATTTTTATTTTATTCATTTCTTATCTTACGGCTAAATTTGCCAACATTTATTTACGGCCACCTCATAATATATGAAATCTCTCACTTGTATGTGAAATCTAATAAAAATTTTGAGTATACCGTCTTTGTTTACTTATTTTTCTGGCTCCGCCCTGCCCTGTTCAAGAAAACTTTTTTTTTTCTTATAAATAAAAAGTGGCTCTCATCAATGAGAGTTGTCCCAAGGAGGACTTTTGATGAGATAGAGGCGATATAATCTACCTGTTTTCAGTTTCTCCCCTGAATGAATGACATTTATGGGATCTGACTCTGGATAACTTTACTAACTCATTCTTACCAACTTCATCCACTTCCATGATCCCACTTGAACATCTGATGGATGAGTAGGAAGAGGAAATCATAGCAAATCTATTCAATGATTGAGTGGATGAGAGCTCATGACTAGTCATGAAGTTTCTTCCAGAAGATGTGAAAGTGGTGGAAACTTCATTGGAGTAACTTTATATGGTTTAATGGTTATATGCTTAGTTTAAGATTGTTGTGGTTTTGAAAGCAGTACTTTTTTCCTTGTGGAATGAATGGCTTCTCAAATAAACGTAGAAGTACATTCATGTTTGTGAGAAGTACTTTTGTGTTGTGGCGAAGACGCTCTAAGTTGAGGAAAAACTCGTCGACTCTTGAAATTCAACGTTTACACTCTTTTTGAAAAATTTCAATTGTCCCCAAATTATGGGAAAAATTATACTTGTACACAGCTAATAACTGAAACTCACAACTATGTACAAGTCTAATTAAAAGAATCTTTTATTTTTTCATAATAATCTCACCGATAAAATATCCTAACTCTACCACTGTATTTGTGCGCTTTTGGTAAATACACTAGTTGTGTCATTTGTATGCAAAGTACTTATTGGGACTCCAAAATCAATACCAAATTAGTCCATAGTGAGGTTTTTATAAGGGTGGCAATTCATGTTAGTGGATTGTGTTCGTGTCAACCCGTTTATTAATCGTGTCAGAAAATATTAACTCAAACACGACATATTTATTAAACGTGTCAAAAATGTAAACACAAACACGACCCATTTATTAATTGTGTTAATCGTGTCAACCCGTATAACTCGTTTAAATTAATATATTGAATAAATAACCCATATAATAATGATTTATTTAACACGGTCAAAACAGGTTTAACATGTTTATTGGTTAATTTATATTTTTCTTTAAGAAAAATAAATTAATTTTACCTACAAATATTAAAATTCACATTATTTGTATTTAATGTCATATAAACTTTCATGTTATATTACATAGCATTATATTACAGATGACACATATAATTAATCATGTCAATTTATATCACTTCGTGTTAGGTGGTCAACCATAACCCAACCCATTTATTAATCGTGTCAACCCGATTATGACTCAAACTCATTTATAATAAATCTAAACCCGTTAATTTTGAATGGGTTTCGAATCGTATTGTCGTATCGCTGTCCGGATTACCAGCCCTAGGTTTTTACTTTTGGATTATCCCATATAAGTGGGATACCTTTTGCAGTGGATTCAGCACCCTTTTACTCTTTATTATAGCAATCGCAGCTGATATATTTCTTGAAATAAAAACGTGCCAAATGTTTGGCTAGTGTTATGAAAGATTAATAGTAGTTACCTTTTATCATTTTCTCTCAATCCCTTTATTGCTTTCACCAAGTTTTATTGGTGTTATGTACAAGCTTTATACATAGCTGAGCGCATCTATTTGGATGAGATTGATGAAATAAAAAAAAATCAATAATAAATAAAAAATAAAAAAGCCAAAATTACGAAAACAAAACAAAGGGTAAAAGTACTTTTCCATTATAATAACATGTCCTCTGCCCAACTCACAAGGGAGATAAACCCATACAAATGATTGAGTATACTATATGCGGAAGGTTAGAACTTAGAAACACATTCATTAAAAGACAATACCTAGCTATATATGCATAATGTAGAACCTCTCGAGAACCATTAACAACCAAACTCACCAGAATCACAAACTTATGGTATTTGGCCTGCAGAAGAAGAAGAACCATGAATGCCTTTTCCAAGGATAGATAGTCCAGGACTTGGAGTCAGCTTTACTTGAAGTTCCTTCCCAGGCGACCGGGGGCTTCCTTCGCCTCTCAGTTCATTTAGACGTGGGCTGTACACTCTCTGTGACAACCTTGGGCTATAAACAGATTTTATGTCCTCTATGGATGGGGTTGAACTTGTCACTTTTGGACTCTGCGATCGGCGGATCTCTCCACGGCTTCTTGTGATAATTTCATCAAGTACTTCCGCGCTGTCAACGTTATTTGTTCTTGACTGAAGATCCTGATTCTGTCAACAATGAGGAAAAAAAATGGCATAAGTAGAGAAGCATGGAAATGAACCATTTCAAGCATGCCTCAGGGCGACCAATTTTCCGTTCTACATTTAATCAAATATGGATGGTATTGATTTCATTCATCCAAAAATTTTGTTGAATGTATAGAAAATAGCAAAAAGACCCTCATCATTTTCTACATAAAAACTTTTATAGGTTTTGTTGTCCAAATAGGTTTCTATACGCAATCTTTTTGGTATGAAGCGAGGGTTTAGACAACATACTTCAAATGACATGTTGAAAGCAATGGCAGGGGCTTCCTCGTATTCCGCAGCATCCAAGTCTTGAAGGTGAGCTCCCTTGAAAAACTTGGGGAGAAAATACTGCCTCACCGGGACAAGAAGCATGATCAACAATGGGAAGAGCACCCCAGCAATTGGGATCCATGTTAGCCCAAAACAAACTAGCAAGTAAACTGTCTGGAACAAGGTGAAACAGGCAATTGCTTTGAAGGGTACGGTCTCCACAAATGTTGCGTGATACTTCTTCAGCACTCTAACAAAAGAAACATTCATTTTTTTTTTTCCAGATTAAGGAAATCTCAAAAGTTGAATTCAAACCTCTTAAAGATATACTTTAAAGATAGAGATACTAAGCATGCAAATTAGTATACCTTAGGAAATAACAAGAGTTAGTGAAGTATTTGTGAATGATTAACTTACTTGTATCTTCGACTTGGAGCGGTCAAAAGCAACAATATCCTCTCCCAGAATTGATTTCCAGGCAAGCTTTCTATTGCCATGAAAGCAAAGTAACCCCAAAGGACCGAAGTCGGAATCTTCTTCAGAAGAGGCATAGCAGCAACACAACCACCAACCATCAATGCCTGTAGTAAATTGCTGAGGCGCTGCTCTTTAACTTCAACAGGCAAAAGGTCATCAATATCCTTGTCCACATCAAAGACAGTCTCATCAACAGGGGCGCCGATGTAGCCAGTGTTCTCGGCCAGTTGGATAGTGGATTCTTTGAGTTCTTTAAGTCCCTGATGAAGCTAGAAGTTTTACATAAAAGAAAGAATGGATAGAAGCTCTATGAATCAGAATTCATGTATGGATAAGTTTACCAGGGCAGGTGGAATTTGGTAGGCTAGTGGAGTCTGCATTTCATCATAGGCCTCTTGCATGCTCCGGTATAATTGACTCAGGTTTGAGTTTTTAGATATACTTTTTCGTGCTGCCGATACAAGTTTATTCCGCAACAGCTAGTAAAAAAATGATGACCAATTTAGATATTCAAGAACAAGAAAGAATATTGACCAGACATCCAGTTCTTTCATGTGCATAATTCAAAAGAGCAAAGTCCTATACTCTTAGGAGCATAAGAGCAAAATTTAATCCATTGATTGTAGAGAAGAAAAACGACTTTATATGCCGGTAAAGAGAAAAGGTACCTGATGTTTAAGAGTAGCTAAACTTTTGGTGTGCATAGGGGATTGAGGTATTACACCATTTGCAGGAGGAATGCCAATAAGCCCACATAGAATGACCTGAGAAAATAAAGAAATTCAAACTAAAGAAAACGTTTTACCAGGTACATTTACTGGTAAATCTTATTCAATCTGAGTGGGAGATCAACAGAAATACTAAGTTGTTATTCCAGGAAAGTAGCTTACCAGAAAGCCCAAAAGAAGAAGGTCATAATGGTAAGAAGTTGGTTTCTTCAGATTAAATTCCTTCTGTTGAGCAAGTTGAGATGCAACACTGTGATCAAAGTAGTAAAGCACTGCAATCATAGTTGCTGGTATAAATGCTCCAATTATATATAACGGAGGAAGATTAACCATTTCCTGCACAACTAAAACACATGAGTTCCTAGTTATAATTTAAAGGTTTATTATATCTTCCATTAGTGTGAATTGGCATATTTGATTAATTTGAACCGTGAGACTCACCTTTATGACTGTCCAATTCGAGTATGCACCCGGAGACCATGGATTTGGACTAAAAAGCCGTCGTGGGAGTCCTTTGGGGACATCATTAACTGGTATGTAAGATACACCAGTCCATATAAGCACCATAAGTGGAACTCCATAATCCGCAATAAATCCCCTTAGCCTACCTAGAAAATAAAATCAATATTACTAGACATGCAAAATAACTTTGTACCCTCCAGAGCTACCAACTGAATGATTCACTCAACATGTCAAGAGGAAAGAGAATTAGCTGATAATCCACAACTATGATAAAAAAAATAATAATAAAATAAAAAAATAAAAGAGAGAGAGAGAGAATTTCCCCTTTACAAATTTTTGGATTCCAAGTCATATCAGGTATTTGAACATGATTTGTCCGTTGCATTCGATAAAGGTCGTCAGAGGAATCTACTTACCAGTACCATAACGCCATGATCTAGCTTTACGGCTTCTCAGTGCAGTAAGAAGAAGGCCAAAGGATAGAACCAGTGCGAACATTCCATTTCCAAATCGCCACGCAGGTTCAAGTGCAGTCTGATTGGGATTTTCCCTTTTGGGCACACGAAACTCCTCAACAACTCCCTAAAGAATTTAAATCATAGGCCGAAGCTACCATGAGAAATTTCAAGTGTTCAACAACTACCTTGTAGGCAAAAAATGAACTAATCATTTCAGACAACCAGATGCACATAAGCATACTCACCCTTATGGCTTGTTGCATAAAAAGCATAGCAATTAGCAGTCCGAACAATTCACCAGCAAGGCGAGTAAACCTATTGATTATCGAGCACGCGCCTAGAATAGCCAACAGGAAGAGCAAAAGGGCCGTCCACACACATACCCTGATGCCAAGTAAAGCCGAGTAGATAAAAAAATAAAGGATTCAGTTTACCATTATACTAGTCCTTTAGTGGTAGTAGTTTGATTTTAGTGTTCAAAACATACCATCCAGTCCATGCCAAGAACAGCTCCTGCCCTAAATCCTTTCTGTCCTTGGCAAAGTTGAACATGAATGTATACATCAAAACTGTGGGCTCAGCCACTCCTAGAATGAGCAAGGGCTGTCCTCCAAAAATTGAGTGGATGATACCGCAAAGTGCCGTTGATGCAAGAGTTTGTACTGCCGTGAGAGTTCCATCTGTAATACCAAAAAAAAAAAAAAAAAAAAAAAAAAATTTTTAAAAAAAATAAAAGTAAAATTAGCAACATAAGAGGAGAATGGAGAAAATGCTTTTACTTGTATCTCTTTCCAACTGCTCCCCAAAGGATATGACTGGAATTGCTGAAGCAAAGAATATGTAGGTCGTTGGAGCCAAGATCCTATACAGTAGAAGAAAAACATCAAAATATCCAAAATTGTGAAAAACTTAAGTCTGGTCATAAAAGAAGAAACAACAAATTCTCATCATATTAACATGTTATTGGATATTAAAATTAGAAATAAGATATTCACAAACCTGATACCCGCTTTAAGGCCACCAGTCCAGTCTTGCTTGTAGCACAAAAGCCTTCCTCTAAGGTCATTCTTGATCCCCCGGAAGGGAACAAATGTTTCTTCCATGAGTAAGTAAAAATATAATAGATTCTTTTTTTTTTTTGGTGGGATTTGTATGAGAAAACAAAATAAACAGGGAAATTAACGTAAAGATCCAAATTCCAAGGGACTCGAGAGGCCAATAAAAGTACTTAAATTTGCATAGGGAGGATTTATATGCAAAAATTGTGGGCAGAGAAACAAGAACTACTTCATCATAGTGGGATTTTGAAGGGTTAAAAAAGCGGGAAAGAAGAATGTTAGATTCATTAGTTCTTGAATTATATCAGACCCTTGGTGAGGTCCTTAAAAGAATGAATCAATAAAGTGGAAGAAATTTACATTTGAGCAAGGAAATTAGATCAAATAATTGGTGTGTGATATGAAGAACAAAAAATAGATTAGAGAAATAAAAAAAAAAGAAATTACTTGGATGCCATATCTTGGATAACGCAACCAAATTAGCGAATGGAATTCATTGTGAAACTGAAAAGGAAGTTGAGTATTAACGGAATAAACAACTCTCCATAAGTTCAGATCAAATAATTAGCGGTTAACTAGGATAAAGCATAGATCCATTACCTCTCTTTAATCACATAAAAATGACCATAAGAGAAAAAAGCCTCCTTTTCATCAAATGCAGAAACTTGCTAAAAGAAATCAGTTACATGGTATATAAATAATATAATGGCTAAAACTAGCACTTTTGGAGTAAAGCTTGAAACTTGTTTTAGAGGAAGAACAAGGAAATTAACGAAAACCCATTGTGGAAAACTGCATTTGGGAGTGTTTAGAGCAATTTGAAGCAAATGGGCATTCACAGAAAAGAAATGAAAAATTAGCGAGAACCCATGAGTGGAACTGTAATAGAGACAACTTATAGCAGTTTTGAGCAAATGGGCATTCAACAAAAAGATAAGAAATGCTGAGACGAATATTACATTATTGAGAACAAGAAAAACAAGAAAGGAAGCAGCAGTTACATAGGCAGAGGCTGAAAGGAGAAGTAAAAATGTAAGGGAGGAGAGAGAAAGAGAGAAAGAGAGAAAGAGAGAGAGAGAGAGAGAGAGAGAGAGAGAGAGAGAGTGAGATGAGATGTACCCAGAAAACAGATTCTGATTAATGAGGCAATAAATGAGGAGAAGAAGAAGAAGAGATTGTGAGAAGATTTGTTTTGGGTGAACAAACTTCTGCAAATGCAAATGGAGAAGGATTTTCGCGTGAATGAATGAGGAAGAAGTAGTGTATGGTGACTAAGCATATAAATAACTCCCTCACTCACTCACCTGCGGAATAAATAAAACAAACAAATAATGAGAGAGACAGAGCAAAAAAAAAACAAATAATGAGAGAGACAGAGCCAAAAAACAAATAATGAGAGAGACAGAGAACAGTAAAAGATAAATATGATGATATTTATAGACGTTTAATTCATACATTTATAATTATAATTTAAAATTATTTTTAATTTATGTATATTTTTATAAGATAAAATATTATAATGAATTATAAATTATGATTTAATTCGTTAATTTAAATTTTTAATTTAAATTGAGATATAATTTTATATTAAAATTTTTTATTATAATAAAAAAATTAAATGTGATTATTTATAAAATTTTTTTACTATAATAAATTTAAATTTTAAAATCAAATCAATAAAATAAATCAGGCTAAAACAAACCGTCCTTCGGCCTAAGGGCTATGAGTATAGTCCTATGACAAAACATGTTTTTGGTTTTGTTCTCTTTTTTTATTATTATTTTTATGCATTAGAAAAAAATAAATGAGAGGAAAGGACAGTTTCAGTGAGACATGGGAAGAGGCCAAGCAAGAACAGGGGCGCAACCGAAAGGTCGTTCAGCAAAAAAATAAAATTAAAATAAAAAGTAGTACGTACGTTGCCAAAAATTATGAAAAGAAAAAGAAAAAATTGTTAAAATGGCGGATGTTGAGGAACAACTTGACAAGTGAAAATGGCAAAATTAGGTCATGGTTCTTTGAGAAATAAAAACATTCCTTAAAATCAGCAATGAGTTTTCCAAAAAAAAAAAAATTATTTTTACCAATGTCTTTGAACTTCAGAGTCATTTTCAATTTATCTCTTAAATTTTAAAAATTCTTACTTTTCCTCTTGAATTTTGAATTGTTCTCACTTAACTCTTTTATTGTAATTTTTGTTAAACTCAAACGGAAAAAAGGAGGGTTAAGCGTGATCATGTGATTTTTATCTGTTTATTTTGAACAGAAATCTAAATAAAAAGACTACATATTCTTTTTTTTCTATTTGTTTTTACTAAAAATTGCAATAGAAGGAGTGAAGTGGAAACAATTCAAAACTAAAAAGATAAAATGAGAGTTTTAAAAATTTAAAGAACAAATTAAAAATGACCATAAAATTCAAGAACATCAGTGATAATAATAATAATAATAATAAAACCAGAAATACTTTCATATCTCTCTTTATTTATATATATATATATATATATATATATTTAAAAGACAACAACGTTATGAAGTTGAACACCACACTTTTCATATGAGTTGGCCCTGTATAAGGTTTAGAGAAGAAAAATAATTGGGCAGCGGTGGTGTCTAACACCACGGCTAATAAAAGGTCTTTATCTATGAGGTTTATGTTGTTTGTACACTTTTTATTAGTGTATGATGTGGGACATCAGTAGTTTTAGTTGTGAGTATTATATTGTAAGATTCACTTTTTTATTAGTGTGTAATGTTAGACATTCGTTAGACACCAATAGTGTAACGGGGCGATAGCTTCGTGTTCATTTCAGTCCAAATCTTCATGTCGATTTCGAATTGACTCATATTGCATCATATGTTTAGCGAAAACGTCCTCATATTTATATTGTCATAGTTAACATAGATAATTTGAGTGTTAATTTATTTACTTAATCCATTTATTTATAATTATAAATCTTATATTTTCATGTTATTTAAATGTTAAACAGTTGATACAAAAAATGTTTGTCCATATTTTTGTATACATTTTAAATAAAAGAACATAATAGATTGAGTCAATTTCATATTAATCGTGTTATTAATTTGAGCTATGTCTTTATCGTGTCATCATATAGTAATCCACATTACCAGCCTTAACTAGTGTTCCTAAGATTGTTAGGTTTACATGATTTCATCACTTTCATGAAAATGGTGTCTATTGGTAGAAGGTAGATTAATCGATTTAAAAAGGACGTCATTTATTCTATTACTTGATAAAAATCTTGAGCACTAGCATTTGAGATGCTCATATTCTAGTACACATCTTTTTTTATTTTAACCTTTTGGCTATAAATAATCTTAAGGATAAATCTTAATTCAAGAACCAGCGCAGCAAAATGTTATTTTTCTAAAAACAAGAGGTCAAACTTGTAATTGAACATTAGCAAGGATAATGCGTATGCCACCGTGCATGCACTCAACCATCCTACCTGCTTAAAGCATGTAACAATCGTTTTCTGCACAAAATTATATCTTTTTCTGCACAATTTTTTTTTTCTTTCTTTCTTCCTTTTCGTGTTTAAAAGGGACATGCAACTCTAAGCCAATGACGGATCAATTAGGTTAGAAGACATATTCTGACCTTCAAATTTTTTATTCCTAAAAACAAAATTTTAAGGGTTTAGATGATCAATTAGCTTTTTGTTGATATCTTAACAGTTCAATATACTATACAATTACTTATATATTAAAAATTTGAGGAAACCTTTTAGGTTTGATATCTAAAAGGGGCTGAGATTCTATAACTAATTTGATGCAAAAAGTACGAACATTTTAACAGTAATAAAATGTGGGCAAATCTCCCTTTAATTTAATCACTTAGCTGGTTAATTACAAGAACAGTAATTTAGAAAGCCTAATCATTATATTAGTTAACTAAAGTTAATTTATGTACTCCTAATGACTAGGTTCACACATAGCATGCTTTATCCTTTAGTAATGTGAATATAAGTACTGTTTTATCACCCTTTTTTTTTCACTTTCGATGATCAGTACTGTTTTAATTTATATATCAGTACTGTTTTAGTATTTGTAAGATTATATATCCATTATTAGTTTATGTAAAACATGCTTTCAAGCTCGACCCATCAGTGGCAAATGCTTTTCAAGCCTAATTGTGATAATCAAGCTCCATCTCTTTAAAGTCTCGTTCGTTTCGCTAATTCGAGTTGATATGTGATTTTATGTGAGAGCTTTTTACTGTAACAAAAAAGTTAGATGTGATTGTTTGTGAGAGCTTTTTACTATAACAAAACTCGAATTCTAAACTCGAATCAGCGAAACGAACGAGACTTCTATGTAAGGAGAAGAATTCCCGACACACCAACGTTCGAATATGATTATTTATGAATTTAAGCGTTAGAATATTTGCAAAATGAAACGATATATTTGTGCAAATCAAACAATATAAGATTATGAATAATTACTTACAAACTTTGAATTTCGTAATTGTAAAACAAAATGATAAACTTGTGAATCGAAATTGGTGTCGTAAATTAGATTGTTGGCATCATAAAACAACCCAATTAAAACTAACTTATTTGGGAACATTGTCGTTAATATTTTGTTCTTTCTATTTTAAAAGTGAAAAAGGAAAGATATTATCGTATTTAGGACATGCTTATTCTTGTTTGTTTTAAATGGCAAAATATATATATTCTTGTTCGTGCGTAAAATTGCTCAATTGACAAACAACAATATAATTCGTATAATTAAGCTCAAGAATTGAATAAAACCTCAAAAGTAATTCTTATTAATTCTCAAGTCAGACAAAAGTGTACAAATACTTGCGTAATATCCCTATTTGTAGGGGTTAATGTGCGGCTTTGCGGTTACATACAAATAATCGTTAACCCATTTAGTCATATTATTTTTTCTTCATTCATTCTCTCTTTTGCTGTGATATTGTGGTTTTGTCTCTTAAGATACAACGACTTACTAGTAGCAACGGTGAATTTTTTAAAAGAGATGAGAATTTTAAAATTTTGGTGTCTCAATTGAGATATATAAGGGTTTAGAGTAAATCATGGCTTCTTCTTTTTTTGACGTGGGACAAAATATTTTTTCACTTTTTTTTAATTTCTTGGGAGTTTTCGAATTTTCTCAATTTTACTGGAGCACTTGAGAGTCAATTTATCATTCATGCACTTTGAGAGTCAATTTCTCATTCACCAATTATTACTTTGTGCATATAAATATATCATTTCGATCTGATCATCAGAAGAACACAATTCTAAATTGAATTATCACTAATACAAAGTTGTGGTCAAAATCGAGCCTCAAAATGTACCTGAAAAGAGTTTTTCAAGTCATTTTTCCAAAATATATATATATATATTTATTTTGATACTGAAGCTAATAAACGTGGTCCATGGCGCGAGAATTTCAGTTTGATTAGTACCTCTGTTATGAAGCGAGCAGGCCCGTTCGGTTCGCTAATTCGAGTTTTTAATTCGAGTTGAGATGTGATATTGTGTGAGAATTTTTTACTGTAGTAAAAAAATTAGATGTGACTGTTTCTGAGAGCCTTTTACTGTAGTAAAACTCGAATTCTAAACTCAAATTAACGAAAAGAACAGGGCATAACCCAGATATTACCTCTGTTGTGCTCAACGAGCTTTCTTGTTTAATAAATCTCAGTTTGATTTAAAAAATATAAAAAAAAAAAAAAAACACGCGTTCCATGGTGCGAGCCATATATACTATACAAGTATAGATATCAATAGGTGCTCTCTGATCAATTATAAAATGGCCTTGCCCACAGAGAATTTTGAACAGTTAATTCAATGGTGCAATTGAGGATTCACTTTATTGTGTAATCAGTCAAGTTTATTATTAATGAAAAATAAATGAGTACTTAGACATTCATCACTAAAACTAATTATTCAAGCGCCCCAAAATGCCACGTGTTAAATTAAAGTTGTGGTAATAAGCTGTTTTCATCACTTCCATTAACGAATTTGGGCACACCGATAACTGGTCCTTTAACGTGGTCCTGCCTGCACAATTATAATATGTAAGCCTTATTAAAATGATTTTTTTTTTTTTTTGTGAAATTGTTAAGATGAGTATAATAGACCACACATCTTACTTTCCTCATTGCGTATAAGGCCTATCCACAAAATTGTTGAACTTATTGTTTTAAAGTGTATATGTTTAAACTTTTACCCATTATTCTTTATTAATACTTTTTTATTTAATATAATTATTTAAGTTAAAAAAATATTAATCAAGAATAA